AGACAGTAAAGGAATTTGACTTTGACTTACTGGAGTCGGCATTAACAATTAACGTCGGCTAATGAATTGATGAATAGAGATAAGAATATAAGTGTTGGAAACAAAGAATAGGAACATTATTGTGAGCGATGGAGCAAAGAGAGGTGTCTTGTAATACTATTGAAGCTTAAAGAAGTACAATTTATTGACAGGGGCGTTCTTTGGCATTTGAGTTAGTACTTATCCAAGTATCTTGTGAAAGAAACTTCGACTAGTTGAAATGTTGAAAGAATGGGTTGAAAGCATCTTGACACAAGAATACTTGCAAGGCTTTAGATGATTAACACTTTCGATTTTATTTTTTTTTTTTTGGATAAATTGCAAAAACTTTCATGTCACTCTCTTTTCATGTGTTTTGGTTCAATAATTTAATTATATCAGTTCGTTTCAAAATCATGTAACAAAGTATTCAATTCCAACTAATTAAGGCTGATATTGTATAATTGTTTGTACAAATTGAGATTTCTCTTGTCTCTAATTTTTATGTCGATGTAGAAATACAATCATTTAAATGAGGCCTATCTGAACCCACGTTCGCTTGATTGCGTTCAGTTTCCGATGCCTTATCAAAACTTTATTATGAGATGCACATCATAAAATTATCGATTTAAGGGCCGGATGTTATTTAGGATACAATACTATTTAATAGATTATGTCATAAAACAACAGAACAAATACATCTAAATTCTCTTGTTTAGTATTGATACCATTCCACAAGGAATCATATTTTATTAAACTAATAGTTTGGTTTTTTTTTAGAAAAAAAGGTAACTTTTGAATAACGTTTTGGACGCCCTAAAATTTGACCGCCTGCGTGCACTGCACACATTACAAATTAGATAGCGACGTCCCTATACTAACAGTGTTCAACCGAGCCCTACTTGATGTCTTTCTCTATAAGCAAAAGTTTAGTTGATTGGAAAACAAATGGCATGTAGGGGTCAGTGTAACCAGCTAAAAATCTTCTTAGTATTTAAATACATTCCCCTATCATGGTCCAAAACAAATCATGAAAGAGTTCAATATATGCAGATCGATTCAATAATGCTTTTACTTGGATCCCCAGCTATTCACTTTGTGCATAATGAAGCTGTTAATAGAATCTTTATGATAAACTAGTCCTAGTGTTCCTCATGCGTGATCTTTTGGTTAAGTACAATGATAGAGCACTCACTCGAAGGACAACTGCATGCAAAGTGTAGACTACGTGGAGAGGTCTGTTATGGACATTACATAGTGAAGCCTACATCGAGAAGTCCGCTATAGACCTTGCATAGTGTAACCTACGTGGAGATGTCTGTTATAGACATTACATAGTGAAGCCTACATCGAGAAGTCCGCAAAAGACCTTGCATAGTGTAACCTACGTGGAGATGTCTGTTATAGACATTACATAGTGAAGCCTACATCGAGAAGTCCGCAAAAGACCTTGCATAGTGTAACCTACGTGGAGAGGTCTGTTATAGACATTACATAGTGAAGCCTACATCGAGAAGTCCGCAAAAGACCTTGCATAGTGTAACTTACGTGGAGAGGTCTGTTATAGACATCTCTTAAAAATAATATCATTCATTCCTTTTGTCAAAATCAATCAGAAAGTTAAATGAGTGTCTTGACAAACAACTGTTCACAATGTTAGTCTTAGTCGGATCTAGAAATTGATTTTCCGATGATTAAATTTAATCAAGTTTAGAATGATTCATCTAAATAATAAAAAATTAAAACATGTTTATTTAACCATGTGACTGTAAAAACAAATTTACAACTAATAAACAATCTAACAAATATATGCTCCATAACAGCATCGTTGTTAAATGGCAAAAATCCCACATTTGAGAAATAAGATCAACAAAATTATAAGAACAGATCTATGGTTCACTTTCCTTTGAGAGTTAATTATTGCTGTCATGTTTGATTTTTTTTTTAATTCTGCTTTTAGTACTTATATTGAAAGTAGTTGTTTTTTTTTTAATTTAGATAGTTTGTTTTTGGTTTGTAAAAAAAAAATCTTAATGTGATTATTTGCCGTTGCAACAAAACATCCTGACACGAATTGTAACCTGGACACTTCACATTTTCTGGAGCACTGGTGTGAAATTAAAGGGAGCTAATCCACTAGATTTTTTTAAAAATACCTTTCTTTCCCCTTCACCCTTCCCATAATTCTGTAAAAGCGTAAATCCTGGTGTCCAAACAAGCAGACGTTACGCCAATCATGGCTCCTCCAACTCTGCTTGTCTTACAGTGTCCGGGAAAGGGGGGAAGAGGGATTTCGAGGAAAAACATTTTTTTTCCCAACGTGATATTATTTGGTCTGTTTCTTTTTTCTTTTTTAAATTGAATTTAGGTTTTATGACGTCATTATGGTGTGTGTCAGATGAAAAAAAACAACAACACTGGCGGTGATAAATAAAAAAAAAACACTTCCTACACGAGATACACAATACACTAGATACACTGGATACACTGCTTAGACTAGATACACTGCCTAGACTAGATACATTGGATACTCTAGATACACTGGATTTACTAGATACACTGGATACTATAAAGTCTAGATGCACTGGATACATTAGATACACTATATACACAGGATACACTGGATACACTAGATACACAGGATACACTAGATACACTGGATATTTTTCGACGCTAATTACGGATTAATTTGAAATTTCGCACAATTATTTCTTTTATTCGACAACACAAGAATTAATTAAAAACAAATAAACAATTAACCAATTAATTAACTGTTGGTAATTAATTATTTCGTAAGTTGTATTTTGTATTTTTATAAGTTGAATTTGTCCCCTTGAGGACGCGAGTCTTGAGTGAAGACTTTTTTGTATGCATTTGAAAAAAGAAAGATCACCAAGATACCCCCTTCTTCCCTCCCCCTTTCCCAACTGGTCTAGGCAAGTGATAGGATCATAGCGCATTGAGAAAGTTAAAAGCTAAACATAAACAATTGGTAAAAAAATATTTATATCGCACAGATTTTTATGTCTAGGTCTATTTTACATATAAATACATAACTGGTCCAAACTAATTAATGCTTTTTTTTTTAAACAAAAGAGTACGCTTTCAATGGACAAAAAACAGTTGTTGTTTTTTTACATTGTATGGCATCTTGATTATCTCACAATGTGACGACATGTATCTAAGTTTATGAGAGCGGCATCTACACAGCTTTATTATGTTTTTATAATCCTTCTGCTATTTATTTTAACCCTAACATTAAGATTAATGAATAACTTCACTTACCAGACACCAGCTTCCTAAATGACCAGGAAGAAACCCCATTCCAATAGAACTTCTAAACATTCAACATACTAATACGTCTCCTAGAAAGTCTGTTCCTGTTCTATTGATGGAATCGTCATTTGAGGTTGATTGATATAAATGTGATTGACGTGTGATTCTGTGTCACAAAATGTATGAATACAATAGACCGTCTTGTCTTGAAATATATATCCAATGTTGATCTTTCACGTACTTCTAATTGTGTTGTTTTTCTTTACTTCCAGCGCTGAGGTTCCAGATGGAGACATCAAGAAGAAATCCCAATCCCAAGTTTTCCAGTACGAGACAAGACCTGGCGACACACAAGGGAGCGAGATGAACAAACGAAGCATCGACTCCATCGGAAGTGGTTTTATCAAACGTCCACTTGTTTCAAGTGGGAGCAGTTTCATTAAGAAAGGAATCGATTCCATTGGCAGTGCTTTCATCAAAAGACCAATTGACTCTATAGGAAGTAGTTTTGTTAAGAAAAATATTGATTCCATTGGGAGTGCGTTTATTAAAAGACCTTTAGATTCCATTGGTAGCAGCTTTATTAAAAGACGATTTCATCATTACGCATTCAACAAAAGACCACTTGATTCTATAGGAAGCAGTTTTATCAAAAGGGGTATCGATTCCATAGGAAGCGGCTTCATCAAAAGGCCACTTGATTCGATCGGAAGTAGTTTTATAAAGAGAGGTATCGATTCTATTGGAAGTGGATTTATCAAAAGGCCACTAGATTCGATCGGAAGCAGTTTTATCAAAAGAGGTATCGATTCTATTGGAAGCGGTTTTATTAAAAGACCACTTGATTCAATCGGAAGTAGTTTTATTAAAAGGGGCATAGATTCTATTGGAAGTGGATTTATCAAAAGGCCTCTGGATTCTATAGGAAGCAGCTTTATCAAAAGGGGTATTGATTCCATTGGCAGTGGTTTTATTAAACGGCCAATTGATTCGATTGGTAGCAGTTTTATAAAAAGAGGTATCGATTCTATTGGAAGTGGATTTATTAAAAGACCATTAGATTCAATTGGAAGTAGTTTCATCAAAAGAGGAATCGATTCCATAGGTAGTGGGTTTATTAAAAGACCAATTGATTCAATTGGTAGTAGCTTTATTAAAAAGAGTATCGACTCAATCGGAAGTAGTTTTATTAAAAGGCCGATTGATTCTATTGGCAGCAGCTTCGTTAAAAAGGTAATCGATTCTATTGGTAGTGGGTTCATTAAGAGGCCACTCGATTCTATAGGAAGCAGTTTCATCAAGAAAAGTCTCGATTCTATTGGAAGTGGGTTTATCAAGAGACCCATCGATTCTATAGGATCTAGCTTCATTAAAAGAGACTACGATGAAGAATTGGAGGATGACAAGAGGGCGCTGGACTCCATCGGTAGCAGTTTCATTAAACGCCCCGATGATGACGTTGAAGAAGATTTTGAGAACGGTCAGCTAGTGAGGGGCAAAAGAAGCCCAACCGATGTTGTCGTGAATGAACCATCTGACAATTCGTACGACGCCATGGCGGCAGGCCTTCATCGTAATGACATGGTACATGCACAGCTCCCTCTTTGGTTTGCTGAAATGGAGATCCCAGAATACCTGTTGGAAGAAGCCCAACACAATCAACAGTTACGGTGGTAAACTAAATTTGTGCGGGGAAGAATTGTTGTGGGGGGGGGGGTAGTGTGAGGGGAAGGGATGAACTTAAAAAGATGAGGTTTAAAGTACATGTATTTTAATGTTCAGATAGAAACTGTTTGATCATTCCTCGGAGAAAAAAGACGAACACGAAAGGGGGGGGGGGGGGGGGTTGGAAAGTAGAAAGATAAAAGACAAAGAAACGAAGTCTTGTTGCACTCAAAATGAATTTCTGTTATTTAAACAATAAACAACCTTGCTCTATGGTAGCCTGTTCATTTTTTAAAACAAAGTCCTTCAAATATAATGACATCTGTGGATACTTTATGACAAGCATTATACAGACCGCTATTTTTGTAAGAAATATATTGGGGAAATGGCTTGGGTTTTATTGAGCTGTCATGTGCATGAAAATACAATTGTGAAACTTCTGAATTCTTCTGTGACAATTTCTAGGTCTTTTCAATTATTTAGCTCTATTGATTTTTATTAATGGGTGAATTGAATTATGACTTTCAACGAGTAACTATGACAACAATAAAAGCTGCCACAATGATTCATTTTGAATTATGTTTCTGTTTATTTCATATTATTCTACTTCTACTAACTAGCAGTTCATTGCCTTGAATATTGTATTACAATCACGTAAAGACTATATAGCACCTGCTTATTAAAATTCAGTTTTGTTCTCAAACAATAAATATTCAAACATGCATGAGGTGCTGAGCAATGGCGAATCTCTATGAAATCCTCCAATTATCCGCTGCGCGCAATTTAAAAAAAAAAAGATTTTTAAAATTTCCTTTGATCTTTAAAGATATTGTTTGAGTGACTTCTACACAGACAGGGAATCTTAGTGAGAATTTGAGTTATTTATTAAACTTAAAAAAAAACAATTACCTTCCCTGACATAAACAGAATTGCTTATCAATTAAATATCTGTGATAGTGTATAATGACATATGCGCACTGTTCTTGTTTCTTCTAGTATTTGCACTGACATATATACTAGTGTTTGAAGGATTACAATACCAGAAGATGGGGGGAAAACAAATACGTTTTAGAAATAAAGACATTTTAACTCTTTCGTCTTGTCAACTAGGAAATAAATATAAATATCTTATGTCTTTCACTTCCGAGCTTATTGTTTGGAGTTATTCAAAGATAATTTGGATTGATTCCTTAATAAATCAGTGATTAAGTTCAAGTTTTGAAAGGCTTTTACTGCAGATGTTTTTATGTGCATGTTAAATAAACCAATGTTTTTGTTCCGTTAAAAACTTTAGGAATTTCTTTTTTTGTAAATAAAAAAAAATTGAGTTATATTAGAAAAAAATGTTTAAAAAAAATGTTTTAAGGCCAATACAATGGATTTGTTTCTCAATGTCTCACTTAAAGTGCTGACTCACTGCACATTATCTTCTCGTGAGGCACATTGCCAGCAAAATAGATTTTTTTCTTGTTGTTTCTTGCAATTAATACTTGTGTTCTCTCGTTGCAATAAAAAGGCAAATTTGACAAACTTTTGTAAGTGTAGTTCTTTCTGTCTTGTCAGTGTTTTTTTTTAAACTCCTCGAGCTGGTCGGATGCTGCGCCGCTCATTTATTTTATAAACAATTTACTTTCTATCAAGTGTGTTTAGTCCTTACACTAGGTTGATAAGTTCTATAATAACCGCCAAACAGATTAGATATTTTTAAGCACAAGTCTGTTCCTAACACACAGCTTACATTTTGTTTAAGATAAAAGATCAAATTAATTTGTTCGTACTGTTTACTTTTGGAACTGATTTCCTTAAAGGGGCCCTCTTTTAACAAAAATGTACTCTCTAACTTCTTGACTTGTTTATTTCCCTTGCTATGAAATTTTCAACATATAAAGAAGTAATTTGTTTGGCAATCAAAACTGGAAATTGTTTCCGCTGACGTTTTGTAAAATGTATAGTTAAAATAAAAAAAAACCTACATGAAAATACTTGTCAACACATCTAGGTCGTCATATGTGCCTCGTTAATAGGTTACAATCAAATGATAAAAATATCTTGTTCCTTTTCATTGTGTACTGGTATAGTACATTTAAACAACTTATAACGTGTTCAAATGTTAAATATCTGTTTCGAAACAGGTTTCTAAAATGACATTACAAAAATTCCGATAAATTCAAGGATGGCTGTGGATTCGTGATAATCCGGCCGCACACATGACATTGGTAGGTTTGGTCTGATGTAAATGAAGACAAACTTAAAGCTTACAAGCAGATCTTTCTCTAAGTCTTATCACCTAATTAAACATAGTGCATTGAGACCTAAGCTAAGGAAATAATGTGCTGAAAGCTGAAGACCGTATCCCTTTGGAAGCACATACTTTCCATTAGTTGGACTTGGAATACAAATAAAAGGCCGCACTTAAAGTAATCACAGGGTTAGGGTTTAGGTTAGTAATAGACATTTACAACTTACAACTCAAACAGTAGTTTCCAAAGGTTGTTAAAACTTAATGAAACGAACAAAAGCAAGACGCACTAACGAATGTGCTGTCTTCAAGTCTTAAAACGTATAAGTTAAAGGATGAAATAATCTATGACGTTTGTGGACTAAGATATCTGCATATCTTCAAAGATTTGTTGGAATCCTCATCAAGTCAAATAATTGAACTTTTGTCGTTCAATATAAATAACGAAAAGAATTAGTCTCCTACCTAGGTACACACTCTACACTCTACACTCTACACTCTACACTGTACACTGTACACTGTACACTGTACACTCTACACTGTACACTCTACACTCTACACTCTACACTGTACACTGTACACTCTACACTCTACACTGTACACTCTACACTCTACACTCTACACTGTACACTCTACACTCTACACTCTACACTCTACACTGTACACTGTACACTCTACACTGTACACTCTACACTCTACACTGTACACTCTACACTCTACAATGTACACTCTACACTCTACACTCTACACTCTACACTCTACACTGTACACTGTACACTGTACACTCTACACTGTACACTGTACACTCTACACTGTACACTCTACACTCTACAATGTACACTGTACACTCTACACTCTACACTCTACACTGTACACTCTACACTCTACACTCTACACTCTACACTGTACACTCTACACTGTACACTCTACACTCTACACTCTACACTGTACACTCTACACTGTACACTCTACACTGTACACTCTACACTCTACACTGTACACTCTACACTCTACACTGTACACTCTACACTCTACACTCTACACTCTACACTCTACACTCTACACTGTACACTCTACACTCTACACTCTACACTGTACACTCTACACTCTACACTCTACACTCTACACTCTACACTCTACACTCTACACTCTACACTGTACACTGTACACTCTACACTCTACAATCTACACTCTACACTGTACACTCTACACTCTACACTGTACACTCTACACTCTACACTGTACACTCTACACTCTACACTCTACACTCTACACTGTACACTGTACACTGTACACTGTACACTCTACACTCTACACTGTACACTGTACACTCTACACTCTACACTCTACACTGTACACTCTACACTCTACACTCTACACTCTACACTCTACACTCTACACTCTACACTGTACACTCTACACTCTACACTGTACACTCTACACTCTACACTGTACACTCTACACTCTACACTCTACACTGTACACTCTACACTCTACACTCTACACTCTACACTGTACACTCTACACTCTACACTGTACACTCTACACTCTACACTCTACACTCTACACTGTACACTCTACACTCTACACTCTACACTGTACACTCTACACTCTACACTCTACACTCTACACTCTACACTGTACACTCTACACTCTACACTGTACACTCTACACTGTACACTCTACACTCTACACTGTACACTCTACACTCTACACTCTACACTCTACACTCTACACTGTACACTCTACACTGTACACTGTACACTGTACACTCTACACTCTACACTGTACACTCTACACTGTACACTCTACACTCTACACTCTACACTGTACACTGTACACTCTACACTGTACACTCTACACTCTACACTCTACACTGTACACTCTACACTGTACACTGTACACTCTACACTCTACACTCTACACTCTACACTGTACACTCTACACTGTACACTGTACACTCTACACTCTACACTGTACACTCTACACTGTACACTGTACACTCTACACTCTACACTCTACACTCTACACTCTACACTCTACACTCTACACTGTACACTGTACACTCTACACTCTACACTCTACACTGTACACTGTACACTCTACACTCTACACTGTACACTGTACACTCTACACTCTACACTGTACACTGTACACTGTACACTCTACACTCTACACTCTACACTCTACACTCTACACTGTACACTGTACACTCTTCACTCTACACTCTACACTCTTCACTCTACACTCTACACTGTACACTGTACACTCTACACTCTACACTCTACACTCTACACTCTACACTCTACACTCTACACTCTACACTCTACACTCTACACTCTACACTGTACACTCTACACTGTACACTGTACACTCTACACTCTACACTGTACACTGTACACTCTACACTCTACACTGTACACTCTACACTGTACACTGTACACTCTACACTCTACACTCTACACTCTACACTGTACACTGTACACTGTACACTCTACACTCTACACTCTACACTCTACACTCTTCACTCTACACTCTACACTCTACACTCTACACTCTACACTCTACACTCTACACTGTACACTCTACACTGTACACTGTACACTGTACACTGTACACTCTACACTGTACACTGTACACTCTACACTGTACACTGTACACTCTACACTGTACACTCTACACTCTACACTCTACACTCTACACTGTACACTCTACACTCTACACTGTACACTCTACACTCTACACTCTACACTGTACACTCTACACTCTACACTCTACACTCTACACTCTACACCCTACACCCTACACTCTACACTGTACACTCTACACTCTACACTCTACACTCTACACTGTACACTCTACACTCTACACTCTACACTCTACACTCTACACTGTACACTCTACACTCTACACTGTACACTCTACACTCTACACTCTACACTCTACACTCTACACTGTACACTCTACACTCTACACTCTACACTCTACACTGTACACTCTACACTCTACACTCTACACTCTACACTCTACACTGTACACTGTACACTCTACACTCTACACTCTACACTGTACACTGTACACTCTACACTGTACACTCTACACTCTACACTCTACACTGTACACTCTACACTCTACACTCTACACTGTACACTGTACACTCTACACTGTACACTGTACACTGTACACTCTACACTCTACACTGTACACTGTACACTGTACACTGTACACTCTACACTGTACACTCTACACTCTACACTCTACACTCTACACTGTACACTGTACACTGTACACTCTACACTCTACACTCTACACTGTACACTCTACACTCTACACTGTACACTGTACACTGTACACTCTACACTCTACACTCTACACTGTACACTGTACACTCTACACTCTACACTGTACACTCTACACTGTACACTGTACACTGTACACTCTACACTGTACACTCTACACTCTACACTCTACACTGTACACTGTACACTCTACACTCTACACTCTACACTCTACACAAACTTTGCATTCAGAACAAGATAAAGTCAGACAAAATTAAAGTGTGTCGTCAACACTGACAGAATGCAAAATCCTTTGTGAAAAGTACAGATGTACCAGTTCCATTAACATGGAGGGATCCTAGTAAAAAAAAAAGAAAATAGAAAGGACTGTCTGGTGTTTGTCATAACAATAAATTTACCTGGTAGTCTAGACTGAAAATAACATCTGATCAATGTCACTGTAAGACGTGTTAGCCAATGTCTCGGGAATTATTTCACATGGACATTAGGACACTATGTGCATGATTGGACAAGACGCCTCAGCTCATCATGTGTAGGTATTGTCTCGTTTAGAATTTGTTTCTTTGAGTATCACTAATGGATATTTTTTTGTAATCGATTTTTTAAAATATTTAGATCGGTGGCAAAATTTATTACAACTAATATTAACCTACATAAAGTCTAGACATAAAGACATAAAATGTTCCACTGGATTAATGAATGTCAAATTTTAACACATTCACTTCAAAATGGTTAGGCCTAAAATGTTGAAAGACAAATATCGTTATTTCAACTTGTAGTTTAGTTTTTTTAATTCACTACTGTCCTTTCTTCCTAAGTTATAGTAACGTCAAAAACTAGTCACACCTATCCCCACAATTTTAAAATGAGTTTATTCATCTTCTGGAATGCACTATAGAAAATCAATGTGACATTCAACAAATAAATATTAAGAACTTTTATTCGACTTATGTTGTCTCTCATTCAGAGCAAATGTTGTAAAGCTTGAGGTA